GATTCTGGTTTGAGTGATTTCAGCACGTTGTAGATTCTGTAGGCAGCTTTGGGGATGGTGGTACCTCCGTTAATGAAGCCTCAGGGAACGGAGATTTTTTATTCCGCATTTTAAAAGCAAACAAAAACCCCTTCCATAAATCATTTGAAGAAAAGCTGCATGTATTCACAGCTGCCCATGACAAAAATACCTGAGCACAGCTTCTATAAGGCCCTTCCCAGTCAAATGTAAAAAAGGCTCCTCTAGGCAAATCTGTAAAGACGAAGGAGATTCCTTTATTCCTCCTCAGTGGCAATGTCAGAAGGTTTCTTTCCTCTCCTTCCTTCTCAAAATAAGAAGGTGTCTGCTATCAGTCATTTGTCCATATCGGTAGATTGACTTTTGTGTGAATGAGTTTCAGTATAGAATCACATTTATATTTTAAGTCTTTCATATTTAATTCCAGGAACCAAAACTTTTTCTTCATTAATATGTGTTTCAGGCATTAGTGGGCAGAAAGAGAGAAATGAGGGGAGTTCAGAGAACCCTGGGATACCTTCTCTGGCTCCCTGAGATATTAGAAGCATCAACTGGGCACGGTCAAACTCTTTCCTCCAGACCAGCGACTTACTGGGAAATGGGGTAGAATGGGGTGGGAGTGGGAAGGCCCAGAATCTCCATTACCCATCCCCCTGCCAACATCCCCAATAAACATGTAGGCAAAATCAGTGGTTTGCATGGCAAATGGAATTTCAGGACCAGTATTCAAACCCCACCCCGCCAGATTGCCATGCCTATACTCCTCTTCCCTGCCCTCTTCCCATCCTTTCTTACTTGACTACAGATTAGGCTTCTTCTAACAGTCTAACATATGGAGTTGGATAAATTACTTTTCTGAGTCTTAGGTATTCCAGTTTTGAAAAAGAAATAACATCTCCCTCGTTGGATGATAGGAGATACTATAGATAAGGCTCCTGGGAGACAGCCTGCACCCGGTGGACACTTTATACATGCTTATTCATTCATTCTATTTGCCAGTCTGCTATTTGGTCAGCCATTAAAAGGAACAGTATGTGTACCTACTATGAGCAAGGCACTAAGCTGACTACTGCAGATCTAATGATGAGCAAGACATTGTTCTCTCATGAAACATATAGTCTAGTGCAGTGGCTCTCACCCCTGGATATAAATCACAACGTCTGGTGGAGGGAGCTTTTCCTGGATCCCACCGTAGGTCTCCTGGCTGGGAGACTCTGGGAAGCACAATGTTGTACTGAATGCTCCTCTGATGTTTCTGATGCATGGCCAACATTCAGAGCTACTCTAGGATTAAATCTCTTTCTTCCCCCCAATACCTTCCCAATATTGACTCTGCTTCCTCCCCCTCCTTCCCCTCACCCCAGGGAAATAGCACAGTTTAGGTTTTCTGATACATCCTTTTTTTTTTTTAAAGATTTTATTGGGGAATTGGGGGGAAGGAACAGCATTGGGGAATCAGGGAAGGGGAACAGACAAGTTGCTGTCCTTTTGTTCTTCAGTCTAGTTGTGGAGGACGTCACTTCACTGGCCCATGTTGGTATTATGATCATTGTACTCTTCCTGGCTAAGGCAGTCGGTCGCTGGCCGTTGGACAGCCGCTCAACCTGGCTGCCAGCCACTCATGGTAGCTCATGGCAGCCCACTGCAGCAGGGGCTGCAGCCTATGCCATCACCGGCCACTCACGGCAGCCCTGCTCCAGGTCGAGCTGTTGTTTACAATCTTGGCTGTAGAGGGTGCAGTCACTGGCCCATGTGGGAACCGAACCAGTGGCCCTGATGCTCAGAGCCCGTGCTTCCAAGCCAACTCCTAACCAAGTGAGCCTCTGAGCTGGTCCCACATTCTTTATTTTAGTTGCTATTTTATATTTTAGTTGGTATTTCATATTGTTTTGGTCATGTCATTGTTGACTAGTATCTTGCACGCATCTCTCTACTGCCTATATATTTCTATGCCTGGCAATATGTTTATGACAGAGAAGTGTGTCACTGAGATGCACCTTCTCTATTAATAGTAGTTATGCCTGTAGACTTAACCATGTTGTCTGGGTTAGAGCTACGGTTTTTCTAGAACATCAGTATTCCTTCTTGGTCCTTTGTTCCCTATCTTCAGGCTCTGCTATAGGGGTTTGCTTCCTTCATTTCATACTAATTCCTGTAACAAATTGTGGTTGTTTGGAGTTCAAGTTTTCCATCTATATCAGATAGTTACTGGTTGGCAAAACAATATCTTTGGGTGACAGAGGCCTTATAATTACTAAGTTCATACAAAGTGCTGTAATTATTATGATGATTTATCACTCAAAAAAACCTTGATAGCACAACCAAGTCCTTCAAGGATCCAACCAATTTAGCTCTGAATCAATACCAAATGTTATCCAAAAGTCAAGTTCTGTTGTAAGACACTAGACCCTTGACTGGTCAATAGACAGACAGATATGCAGGCTATGGGCTGGTCAGATAAAATTCTAAGCTGCCAGTTTAGAAAAAAAAAAAAGGAAAAGAAAGGAAGAAAAAGGTTAAAATCCCTAGATTGGATAGAATGAGCTGAAGTGTTTTCAAATGGATTTGAGAAACTGAACTGTTCCCAGGCGGAAAGATAAAATGTGAAGCTACAGTCAGTCTGGCTTTTTGGCTCGCCTAACCTTTTTACTGCTGGATAATGAGGAATCAGCTATAATTTAGACACAGTATTCTTTTCACAGATTATATGGAGGTTTGGAGGGTGGGAGAGAGAAAGGGGAAGGGAGAGAGACTGACTTTATAGTCTTGCATCATCTCTCTCCCCAAGAGGCACATCCGGGGAGTGTTGCCCTCTGTGTGTTGTTATGACAAATTTCAAGTCAAGAGGGTGCTTGAATTGGATTTATTACAATTTGAAGACAAGGAATTGTAATCTTTATGAGCCAACGACATGGAGCGTTATAATAAGAGAATGAAAGATCATTTCAAATTTAAAGCAAATTAGATTACTGGGGTCAAATCCTTCAGCAGAGACCTCATGCCTTTAGAGGGTTGCTCATATATTTGACATTCTTCCCCCTCCCCAGGTTTTGCATGAACATTTAAGTGCTTTTTAAAAACATATTTAATACTCTTATGGAGTGAAAGTGCCCTAAAAATCCAAATAATGACTGGAAGGGAAAAGGGGAATCTACTAAAGGAATTCACGGATCCATGTGCTAAACCAGGGCTTGCCTTCATTTACTTCTGGACCTGGGAGGAACCTCACAAGGTCATGTCGTCAAGTACTCAGTCTCTAGGTAGCAGCATACTCAAGCCATTCAGGAGAGGATGTCACATTTTCAAATGTTTTGTGGAAGGATATTTTCTAGCTTTTTCAGTTGCTTGTTCTGCTTTTCAATCTCTGAGCAAGACCAATAAATTTTGCCTCCTGTCTTTACGAACTCTCACCTTACAATTTAACCTGCCCCTTTCGTCTATCCCTAGTCCATCAAAAACACCCACCACCCACATTGTTCTGATCCAGGACATTGCCTGTAATTAAGCTTCACTCCCAACCAAAGATCTTTCCCATAATATCATTTAGCTTTTAAGGAAATGTATGAATTGACATCTACTGTATTTCCCCATGTATAAGACACACCCTTTTAAAAAAAATTTAGGGTCTAAAAACTGGGTGCGTCTTATACAGTGGTTGTATGAGCACAAAAACAAGCGCGAAAAAAAGCAGGAAATGCAAGTAAAAAAACCTACAACCACTGTATAAGACGCACCCAGTTTTTAGACCCCAAATTTTTTGCAAAAGGGTGCGTCTTATACATGGGAAAATACGGTATATGTAATATGTGTCCTGCTATAGATCTGCTCTTTCTGTTTCTCACCAAAGCAGGAGCCAACATGGCTCCCCTCCTCCAAGCCCAAGTCTAGCTCTGCATCCTTGCCCCCATTCTTGGCCATGATCCCAAGCTTCTTGGGGTCTATCGACTTCTTTTCCACTTTCCATTTCTATGTCTCTCATGAAATTGTCAAATTAATAAGGAAAAGGTTCTAGTCCTAATCCAGTCCTGGTCTGGCACTCACTGAAAACCAAAATAAAGAATTTGAACCGAATTCTGGTCATGGAATTAATGGGGTTTGGGAGTGCAAAGATGGAAACAGAGATGACATTTTTCATTCCCCCGCAGTTTCAGCATTAGAACAATGTGCTGGCTGATGTCCAAATCTTTTTCTCCTCTAGCTCTGACAAACCTGTGAGTATAAACAATGACATTTGCCTATCCAATGGTCTCAATACACCTTGTTAACACATCTCAATAATTACCCCCATTACAGAGGCAGAGAGTAACAGACAATAATTAGGAATTGGGCCAAGTTATTCTGGGCAGTCGTGGCCAGGAGTAAAGTCAAAGCTGTCTCCTCCCATTCTATTTACTTTTCAGCCAATTCAGCCCAAAGGGACTCCCCTTGCCCCTTTCACTCATATCTCCCTTGAAACACAAATGGGCCAAGAAGACCCACGGTCAGCTCTGGAATAGTAATTTCTCTGTTCCTAAGGAAGATCTCTCTGGAGAGCCTTTGTGCCAAATGGAGGTTTAGAATATCTAAACATTTAAGTGCATATTGATTGCAGTCAGATACTATACCCTGACCCGCATCACAAGCTCTAGACTGTATTTCTCTGGAATACTAGCTTTTTATGTATTAAACTTCCACCAGCTCCTTATGAAACAGAGTACAGGCCAAAATTAGAGGTCTCTACAGGGGCCCAAGTTTTACCTATTAAGCTTTGTGGGAGCTTCCCTAGAGAACTGAGTTTTACATTAACTTAATGTTGCTACAGATTCTTTAAAGAATCTAAATTATTGGGCAACCATTCTACTTAATTCACTCTTGTTTTGGCATTCTTCTTTTTTAAAAACAAGGTAGGGGTGGGGGGAGGGAAAGATATCAGAAGTGTAGGTTTCTCTCTTTATCCAAGTTGTGAGGTTATCGTTTACTCACGTCCAACTCTGGTTGTGGGAAGGGTGTGGATCTCTAAGAAATGCAGGCTTTACACACATAAGGAGGAAAGGAGCTTTCAGGATGGAGGTGAGCAAAAGAGGTCTTAAGGTATCATGGAGACATTCAAAATTCATCTGGTTCAGTCACCTGCATTCAGACAAGGAAAAACATTAGAATTTCCTTTTATCTGGTGAAACCGGGGTCCAGATGAGGTAAATGGTTAAGTGGTTTACTCAAGGTCACACAGCTAATTTCAGAAGTGACCTCACACTCTGGTGCCCTGCCTCCAAGTACAGCGCTTGGCAAAGGAAAGTTCAACTCATCCACAGAAGGGCTGTAAATGTCTGGTCCTTCATCAAAAACCAGCTACCTTCAGGCCAGATGGCTAGAGTTATAAAATTAATATTAATTTTTTTTTTTTTGCAAAAAGCTCTTTTTAAAATGGAGAATGGAACAGTGCAATTGAAAGCCCTGTCCAAGAAACATGAAGTAGATGTACATAGGATATGATGCTGTCAAGGACAGGCTGGCAAGGGGCCCATAGGAAGCTTCATGGACTTCAAACCAAATTATTATAGTGATTTCAATCAGCAGATGGGATTCCACAAACAATAACATTTCCAAGGTAATCTCCATTCTAAGTAATTGCCATCTCCCAAGAGCCAATTGATGGGAAGGGTATAGCCATCCCAGGGAAGATGCTTCTGCTTTGGATATCTTCTCTACCTTCAATTAGCTTTTGGTTCAACACATGCATAAAACACATTCTTGTGCTTACACACACACACACACACACACACACACACACACACACACACACACACGTATGCACTTGTGAACACATAGGGCTCCTCAAAAGACCACAAGATAGCTTATCTATAGGATCTTAATCATTACACGTGTAAGTTTCAGACTTGCTCTACCAATAGGAAAGAGCAAAACAGTGCTGGGCAGTGATGTTCCTATATCAAAGAACAAAGTTGAAACTCCCATACAATTATGTTTGATCACAGTAGAAGGTGAAATCATTAGATATTAGTGAGGTGCAGTAGAATAAAAATGATGTGTTAGCGGGGGTTCATTACACTGTATTTTCAGAGCCAGGAAGATCAATGCGTTCATGCATCATGAATTAGGCTCCGGCTTTAGCCTTCCCTGCTCTCCGGAAACCCAACATGATCTATCACCAGCCATACATCACTGTTTCAGGATTGCACATTAACGAGAAAGCTGCAGTTTCCTCCTGTCAAGCTGACCAGCTGCCTCTTTCTCTGCAGAAGCGAGAGGGTTCCTGGTTCAGGATTTTACTTTTAAAACAAAAAGGGGTATAAGAGGTCAGTGTCAGCTGGACAGTCGAGTGGTCTGATCTTTGTGCTGTCCGAATGCACAGCTGATGGTCCTATCCTTCCTGGCCTCTGACCATTCTGGATCCAGACCTGCAGGAACTCACTGTTATGATGTTAGATAAGGACACAGCCCCTGTGACACACCTACAGTGTCCCTGGGCATGCCCTCTATCACCCCTAGGGCTTGCTTAACATCGTCGGGTATATTTAGAACTCTCATGGGAGAGCCTTATGTTAAATGTCCCCCTCTTCTATGCCCACTACCCCTTCTATGCCCACTCCCCCCACCTCTTCCCTTAATAGAGGCTCTTTCACCACCCAGCAGTTTGCCACTAGCACTTTCCCTTCATTTATTCTCAGTCCACATCACTTCCCCCCTGCCTGACCCCACACCTGCTAGTGCGGCCCCTCTTCCCTGCTGGTGTTCAGATACCCGCAGACAGTTCTGATCGCTGCTTTTAATCGGCGTTTAGCCAGTCTGCCCATATTTAGTTCTTTTAATCTCTCCTCATCATTCAATTCCTTCAGCCTCTTCATCATCTTTTTTTTTCTTTTCTTTTTTTTTTGGTGTGTTGCTCTTTCCTGAGCTTTATCCAATTTGTCTATATCATCCTTTTGGCTGTGACATGCCCAATGGCCCTGAACTCCATCATTGCAGGAAGAGTGGCTGGTAGAGCCTCAATCCACACTTCTCTTCTCCTCTAGCACTTAGCTAGGTCTATTCCTCAACGGCAGAAGCAGCAGAAGTTTCAGAGGTAAATTTTGGCTGTGCAAATCCTGCCCCTTCCCTGTCTAGCTCATTGCTGAAACATAAAAAAAAAAAAAGGCAATAGAAGAGGTGATGTTAGAACAAAAGAAACTAAAGTTAAGTACATGGAAGAACTTTGCAATGATCACGTCTTGGGAAACAGAACAGACAGTGACCTCATCTTCCTGGACTCTGGGAAAAGGAAGCTAACTCTGGAGATCCCACTATTCTCCCATTTCTAGCCGAAAGGGCTTGTAGTGAGCACCAAGGCTGATGACTTGCTGACTGTGATTACCTTTAGGAAACCCAGATAACATACGATGTATGATGAAACTAAGCACTTGGAAAGGGGTTTCCAGCTGTGTCTATGAGTATGCATAAGAGCTGGCTTTGAGGGCTTGGACAGCCTCAGTTTATGGGGTTACAACTTTATAACCATACACATGATTTCCATGAAGATATTAACTGAAGAAGGCGTGGAGCAAGATCCTAGGTCCAGGTGCCTCACTCCCCAGAACCACTGGAAAGCAGTTTCTAGGGAAGAGTTGGGTTGGGGCTGGTTGGAGGAGGGCAGATCTTTTTATTTGAATGAGTAAAAGGAAATGCCATATGTTAGTGAGAGGCTTCCTATTTATTAGGAGTTCAGAGTCTATTCTTTGGTTTCACTCAGGCCACTTCTTAAATGTCACTTCCTTCAAAATACCATCTGAAATAGTACCCAGCTTAGCTTTCTGTCTACTTCCTTGCAAATAGACTATGTTTTATTTGTTCGGCACTTTATTGTCCAACTCCCCCGCTAGATTGTAAGCTCCCCAAAAGTAGGGATTCGCCCAAAGCAGCAAAGACCAATGCCGGGCACCGGTCCCATGTTTGATTAGTGAACCAACTAACTGCTACCCTGTTTTTGAGTTACAGATCCCAGTACGGACTGGCAGGATCTGATGCACACATGGGTTGGCAAGGTTTGAGTCAGCCTGGTTCTCCTGGGATGTCTAATCAAAGTCCTGCTGAGTTTAGGGGAGAGAGAGTGAATTGAGAAACCCTGCCCTCTCCATATTCTTTCCTTCTTAACAGCTTGAAGTGAGAGAAAAAGAGTCAAGAAAGAAAGAAGTGGAAGGCTCACTTCCCCCATGTCTCCCACAGGCTGCCATCAAACCTGTTTATCCTGTTTCGCTTTTAAAAGCCCTGAACCAAGGAGAGCCCTGTATTCGTTCTTTCCCCCATGAAAACACAGCTGCTTGTCTTTCAACTACTACCCCGGTTTTATGAATGGTTTAAAGCTCAGGAAGAGATATGGAGAGATTTCTGACTTTCTAAAGGAGCACTTAGCAACGTCGTGCCTAACTCTGAAGGCTAGTGGGATCCCAGATGGTCTCCACTCTCCTGATGCCATTAATCTACTCTGAAAATATATTCTGAAAACCTAAATCCAGGGTCCCGGAGACCTGTGTATATACTATAAAATTTCCGTTTATATTTTTTTGTACTTGCTATATCTCCAGTTATACAATTATACTTCTTTGTTTTCTATCTCATTCCCCACCCACCATTGCAAACTCCATGAGAACAGGACCCTTTATTGGTTAGTTCACTGAATCTTCGACTCTATGGCTGGTGCATAGTAGGTGCTCAATAAATACTTGTTGAATTCCTGTATTATCTGGTTGACTTAGATCTGTAGCTCTTAACCCTGGATATGCATTAGAATCACTTGAGGCGCTTTGAAGATATTCCCATACCTGGACCCCATCCCATACCATTTAAGCCAGAATCTCTGGGTACATGGTGTAAGAATCAGTGTATATATTTAACTGGCTCTCGTGATTATGGAGATTGGCAAATCCAAAATCTGCAGTGTGGGCCGGAAGAGCTGGTGGTACAGATGAAGTCTGAAGGCAGTCTGTTGGAGAATTCCCCAGCATCAGTATTTTTTAAAAGCACAGGGGTGATTCTAATGTGAGCAAGGATCGAAAGTTCCCACTGTAGATATGTCTGTGTTTGTTTGCAAGTGATCTCCTGGCCTGGGTGCGATCATGTTTGTGTTCCAGATATAGTACTGGATAGAATTGTCATATCTTGAGATTCTGTGGCCGTGGTTCATTACTTAGAGTGGAGCAAGGGAGATGAGGTGGGACCAGGACATACTCTTTGGAACATATGATGGGGGAGCTGACCCATTTGCAAGAACAACTGAATAATGGTCTTTTTAGCTGCAGTGCAGATATAAAGTCAGTAACAGGAAGTCCATGGGAAAGTTACAAAGTTACATGCCAGGAAGGAAAAGAACATGATAACAGTAAATTGGGGTGGAAGGTGTTCAGATAGGCAGCGGGCATCAGTGAGGTCTCTCTACAGAGTATTAGGGCCCTGGATGGTGGGATGGAGTTTAAGTCAGAACCACCGATCATGAGTGGTTAGGAAGGGACTTACTAATACAAAACAAAGCCTTCTAGGACAACTGGAGATTGGTCAGGCTGGCAGAATAGGAACTCAGGGTGGAGATGAAAACAGAGATCTCTATAACAGAATAAGATGCTGCCAGTGAGCTGAGACTCAGAAGTAACGCTGGAGCCATACAGTTCTGTGGTCGGCCTTAGGAAAGGAAGCCTGTGTAATAACACAAAGCAATACTCAACGTTAATGCCATCAGATGGCTGGAAGGAGATTTAAGCTACTTAAACAATTCCTGCCATGTCTATTCTGTCCATCAATGCCTAGCAGAGTACCTGGCAAATAAAAGATTCTCAATGAATGAGGAAGAAAGAAGCTAGAACAGGCTTGAATCTGCCTGCGGGTGCTGGTCATGAGTAGATCTAGTTGTTGTTGTTGTTGTTTTTAAACATCTTTACTGACATATAATTCACCATACTGTACAATTCATCCATTATAAAGTGTATAATTCCATAGGGTTTGATAGATTACATTACTAATTTTTTAAGTTGTGGTAAAATATAGATAACATAAAATGTGCTGTTTTAACCATTTACATGTACAAGTCAGTAACATTAATTACATTCAAAATGTACATTTACCACCACTATCCATTTCCAATGTTTTCATTACCCCAAACAGAAACTCTGTAACCATTAAGTAATCATCCCCCACCCCCTTGTAACCTCTAATCTACTTTCTATCTCTATGAATTTGCCTATTCTAGATATTTTATATAAATAGAATCATATAATTTTTGTGTCTGACTTATTCATTTAGAAGATCTAGTTTTGAGAAGCTGGGAGTGGTGGCAGTATTGTAGGGGAAGGGGGGGAAAAGTTGACAAGTATGTTTTTTCACATTTTGTAGTAATGATCTTATTGCTGCTTCTGCTCAAAAGATCTTGTTTTGTTTTGCTAAAGCTCTAAGGGCTAGCTATCCTCAACCGCTTCTATCCTCCCCTATCCACCACCCCAATCACCTCAGACACAATTGGGTTTTCTCTTCAGGGTTGCTTTCTAAGCTAGTAATAGAGCAAGTATTAAGGCGCTGTTGCAGCTTCCCAATTAATACACATCTCTATGATAATTAGTTGAAGGGATGCTTTGAAGTCCTGGGATAGAATGTTGAACTCATTCTCTTTGTGAAGGAAGGGCCAGTGCTTCCTCTGGATTATCAACCCAGAGGGAGGGTTACTCTCAGCTCAGATAGTCAGCTCATCTCAGGCTGCTCCTTCTAGAAGTTTCTATCATGAGGACTCCTTCTCCCAACTCTCTGCCTCTGGGCCTTCTCCCTGCTGTTTTCTCCTTCTCCTCAGCTCCCTTTATCTCTTAGGGTAGCTGCTAAATTCCCTTAGTGTCGACAGGGGCCCAGCTGAGCTGCCAATATTCACACTGAACCCTATGATGCAGAAGTTCTCCCAGCAGTTGCTGAAGCCTGCAAGGGGAGGAGGTCGTCATTTGCAGCAGAATGGCAGGGTCCACAGTGGCAGAAAGGTGCTCCCACTCAATCAGGCCAGGTAGACAGGACATACCCAGTGTGATAACAGACTGGTAGACCAGGTTCATTCTTTCTGGAGGTTCTAGGCAAGGAGAGCCAAGAACTTGTGCTGAAGAAGAGGTTGGGGAGGGGAGAGAGGGAGTCTGAGAAATGGAGCTGGTTTGGGAACGAAAGGAGAACGAGGCATGGCAAGTGAGAAGTTAGAGATGGCTTTGCCTGAATCTAGGTAACACCCACTAATCTTACTGCCCAAATCATATTAGTTACTCAAGCATATAACTGGAATTCTACAGGGTTATTTGTGGGGGAAGAGCTTTGATAATCTGGAGATGCTTTCTAAGACATCAACCATAGTACATGTAACATACTCACAAAATAAAACCTGGTTGAGTTTTCATTCTTTTAGAGTGCTGTGGGTTTTATCTCTGCACTCTGGGACACAAGAAACTTGGTTGCAATGATTAGTCAGGGTCTACTGGTTCAGGTATCCAGCTTGAATGATATCTGATGGCATTAACTGAAGATACACCTCAAATTGTATATCATATTTAATGCAGTTCTAACTCCAGTTCCCTTCTCACTGGGGAACTTGAAAAAATCTTTAGCCAAGCAGTCCTGTTTCTATTTTAAAAATGTTTTTTGTTTTTTTTTTAATCTTCTTGGTTCTGTATCGTTGACTATATTCCCTGCTACTATGAACAGGGCACCTAATTTTAAATGGCTGTTTACTTTTATGCTAATTGTAAGAAATTCTCAGTTTCTTTGACAGCAATTTCCTAAAGTTTCCCCTATAAGTACAGAATCTCCATTAATTGTATTTTTGTAGTTCTAGTCACTGCTGTTTATAATAGCTACTGTGTAGATCCATGCGACACTGAACCATTTGTGTATTCATTCTATGGATTTCTATGAAATTACCTCTAACCCCAAGAACATTATCTTTTTATAGACCATAGCTGTACTCAGTCTCTGCTTTGTGTGCTCTTAGAGCTAATGTGAGGCACTGGGAGGAGTTTTACAGTCCCTGACCTTTTGGGGGGGGGGTGCGGGGGTGGTGGGGAGTAAGAAGAGAATAGCTCCTCATTTTAGTAATAACCAGAAAAGTTTTCGTCACCATACAGAACTCACTGACTACATATTATGTCTTGTGTTACCTCACCTCTAGGTGGTTTTTACTGAACAAGTTCGTGTTCACATCCGTGTAACATTTATGTGCAGCCAGAAACAGGACTAAATAACTGAGTCAGTGGCTTATTTCGATTAGAGATGTTATTTTTAATTCCAAAACTGGGCATCAGAACAAGCAATCCAAAATGTTTCCGAAGAGGTACTAAGACTCTCTTAAGTGGGAAGATCTGCGTCCTTCCATGAGGAGAATTTTGTTCACAGAGTGAAACGAGCATTTTCTGCACGATAGTGGCTTTTGTCATCCAAAATTAGATTCAGCACGGTAGCGCCTCTTCTTGGGGGCCTTTGGAATGCGTTAGGTGATGGTGGGGCTATGTAAGCTATACATTAGTTAGAATAAGAGTAGCTACCATACAAGATAAACCCTTAAATCGCAGAGGTTCAACACAACAGAAGTTCATTACTTACTCACATTCTACCCCAGTGAGGCAGTTCCCGCTCCAGTGGCTTTCTATGTGGTCATGTGTGGACTAAGGCTCCTTTGTCTTGTGGTCTCCCCCTCTGTAGATCTTCAGACTCCCCTTCACTCAACTGGAAGAAGGGACAGGAGATTGGATTTATAGGGGAGAAGATCTGTGGGCTAGACCTGTAAGTGGAGAATCTTTCTCCTGCCCACATTTCAGTGCTGGAAATTCAATCATAGGGCGATACCTCACTCTAAGGGAGGCCAGGGAATGCTGCCTAGAAGCGAAAGGCAACGGGATTTTGTGGGTATAAGGAGTCTCTGCCACAGGTTGGGACAGCCTTTTGGCTGTTACTGCCTCCCTCAGATTGCCCGTATGCAGAGACTTCCTCCAGTCCCCTCTGAGGTAAGGACAGGGCAGCAGTGAGCGTGTCCTTTCTGCCACTTGCATCTTAGCGCACGCCTCATGAAAGGAATAACATCTTTGTGTTGAGTACCTGCTCTGTGCCAGGCACTGACTATGCCAGGGTATGCAGATGTGGGAAACAGTGTTCCCGAACAGTAGGATTTAGGAACAACTTGGTGAAAATGGAAAAACACCCCCTCCTGAAACATTACCAGGGGGGGTTTCTAAGAACCAGTAGGGAAAGAGATTATTCCAGTACACACTCCCTTCTTAAAAGCCTTGAATTAGCACTGTCTACCTTTCCGCATTCACACCCCATCAATGACAAAATGATAAATTTAAATTCTGAAGCTAATATGTAAGGGCCTTCATGATCTGGCCTCTGCATACCCCCATTTTTCAGCACGCTCTCCTGTACACGCCAAGCCGGCTGACATCCCTGCAGTTCCCTATATGCACCATGCTTACTTTTCACTCAGGGCATCGCGCACACATTCCTTCCTCTTGAAACTCTCTTCCTTCTCTCTTTGTTTGCTGAATCCTTTCCTGATTTAGATCTGCACGAAGATGTCATTTCTTCTAGGAAGCCTGCGCTGACCTCGCTCCATCCCTCAAGTTTGATATAGGTAGGTGCTCCTTCTCTGAGCTCCCACAGGACTCTCTATTGTCCCTATTGGAGTTCTTAGTGTTTGCCTTTTTACCGTCTGCATCTCCAAGCGCCAGGCCCACATTGCTCACTATTATATGTTCAGCACTGGTACAGTGCCTGGACCACAGCAGGCACTCAGGTACTAGGTGAAGCACAGCTGAGCCATGCTTTCATAGTAGCGTCTCTATTACCTATCGTTCTCCCCACCCCATTTGTAATTTATATCCACAGGGGAAACCACCAACCCTGATTTTCTGTTCTGTCATTATTGTTGCTCTTTGTTTTGATTTTTATTTTCCTTGAAACATTTCACTTAGAGTGGTGACCCCACGCCCACCCCATTTCTCTTAGCCCAGAGTTACCTGACATGATGAATTATTCTTGGATCCCTCGCTCGGGATTCCGCATGCTAGCGCATGCCGTGTTGATTGACCACGGGGAAAGCCATGCCTTCTGAGTCGTTCAGGGCTTCTCTCCCCAGCTGCTCCAGATTCTCACAAACACGCCCAGGCAGCCCAAGCTGAAACCTGAGAGGGAGGAGGCAGTCTGCGCGCACGTGGATGTGGAACCTGATCCTGATTTGGGCTCTGCTGCCCTCACTTAATATGATTAGGGAGGCAAATCCATTGTAGGACCAGCACTCTTAGACCGGTTGGGCTGGTTGGGGTCTGGGCACTCCAGGAAACATGGAACAAGGTTTTCTTTCATGAATCCTGAGAAGCAGTCTGTACTATGACTGCAGAACCATAGGTCGCTTCATTGATTCCCTCATGCAGTCCTTCCTTCCTTCCTTCCTTCCTTCCTTCATTCATTCAACAAAGACTTATTGGGCCTAACTGTTACAGACACTGAGGTTACAGAAGATGACAAGACCGGAAGAACCCTTGCCACCTTCTAAGGAGGAAGAGAGAAGCTAAACAAATACACAGAAAGGAAAAATAAGAAACCATGTATAAAACGATTTCAAATGGTGAGGGGTGCTTTTGTTTTCTCAGTCTTCCTGGAGAATCCAGCTTCTTGCTGCCGGTGGACGACTCACGCCCCTTTTCTGAGCCTGAATTACGGTTCTCCTCTCAGTTGATAAGGCCCCTCACCTTCTCAGGACACCTAGATGCCCTGACAAATCTACATTCACATACTTGCCCCTCCCCTAGTCCTGGTAAGCACTCCATAGTCTGCTCTCCAAGCCCACGTCAGCCCATTCCTCATCTTTCCTGAGCAAGTCAGATTATTAAAAACAGCTGGAGCAGAACCGGGCCACATGTGTGCTGTCTGTCAGGCTTTACCTGGTGCCCAGACTTTGCACCCCTCTCCTCCCTAAGCTGAATCCACGTGGTGGCCAGACCTGCAGGCTCCGCTCTACCCAGGCTCCAGGATCAATTCTGACTTCAGGCTGGAAGAATTCAAGCTGCTGCTGTCCAACAGTGTTGATTCGCTCTTGTCACCTTGGCTACTTGCTTGTTGTCCCTAATCTTGTGACTCATTCTGACAAGTGGTTGGTCTGGCACATGCCTCTGTCTCTAAGTCCCTGCCTTGGTTGTTTTCCTGGTACTCAGGCCCTCAGAGGCTGAGGACATTCCTTGCTTAAGTGTCCTGCCCTCGCCTCCAGTTCTCTTGGGAACAGTGTCTTGCCATTTGAACTTGCTACCTGCAAACAGACATTCCCAGGGGTGGGTTTCTGCCTCCTGGGACTTCTGAGGACTGCCTGTAGTTGACTTACATTTTATGTGTATCTCTGAGCCCATCACCTAGCAGGTGACCCCCTAATATTTCCCACTGAGACCCCAAAGCTAACTTCTTGCCACCACTCTCATGTAGCCTGTTACTGTAGCTGACAAATTCTGTGTTCCTCCCACTGGATTGGTCGTGCTGCTGTCCCTTTGGTGCTTGTCCCACCTGAGTAGATGCATCTTCATTCTAGATCTCAGAACCCCTGCTATCTTTCCTGTTCTAATGCAGTTAATCAGTCCATGCCCAGCTCTAATCTAAGATATGACTCTGCCTGCCCTTTGGGACACACCACTCCATTTCCCATCTTTTAAGTTCCCCCAGATGTCTCAGTTGGGTAAGAAGAAGTACTCAGGGCATCAGATAGCCATGATACAGAGAGAGGGGCTGGTGGAGTCCCTTTAGCTATGGTTGGGAAAAAAGTTTCAACAGAAGGTCAGGGCAGTTGTAAGCGAGACATGGCAGCCTTGCTAAGTAAAGATCTCAAATCCCTGTGGTCTGAGGACAGATGTCCCAGGAACCCATGTGCAGCCTAATTTATACTGGATACTTAGTTCTATCATGGGAAGGTTATCTGCTTGTGCTGGAAGCGAGGGTATCCAGTGGGAGCCCTCCTCTCTAAAGCTTTTCCCCATGCTCAGCAAGGGGCACAAAACCTTCCCTCCAAGGGATGCTATTGAAATCCAGCATTTGCAAGCCTTGTGCTAGCAGTCCTGACCTGAAAGCCTCTGCTCCTCTTTGCCTGATCTGTGCCTGACCCTGGGGCTTTGCCCTTCTGGCTTTCTGTTTGCTTCAGCCAAGCCTCCAGGTTTGCTGCCTCAATTGGCCTCTTTCTCCTGCTTCCAGCTAGCTGCTACTACTTTTTTTCCCCCCTGACTTATGACATTCATTCATTTATTCGTTCAAGATTCCTACTCCCAAGGAGCTTATAGCCTAAAGAGAAGGCAATTACACAAATGGTTAATGGGTACAATTGTGATAAATGTTATTCAGGGAAACTTGAAGACGTTATGGAGTGATGACCAACTTCATCTGGTGCATCTGGAATGCTTTCCAGAGAAAAGGACTTTGGAAGCAAAATAAAGGACTCTGGGGGGCTGGTATGGGGAGACAGGCAGGGCATGAACAGCATTTCAGGCTCCGTGGAACAACACGAACAGAGGTCCTGAGGCAGGCAGGAGCTTGTCATGTTTTCCCTCCTGGCTGGGCATTGCCCACACTGTCTGCCCAGGAACCGACTGCCTGGCTTCCTTGGCATGAGACCTTTCTTGTTTACACTATGGCATGGGAGCCCTGTAGGTACATTCTGGAATTCCCGGGATCCATTCCTGTCTTGACTTTGGCTCTGGGGGTGGGGGTGGGGGTGGAGTGAGAGTTGTAGGAAGTGCATTTGGGGGATCCGTGTCCTTATTTTCCACACTGAGCAGAAGTGGGTGGGGGTGAGGATTTGTAGCCTCAGGAAGTTTATCCAAGGGCCTGGCTTTCTTTATCCTTTCAACCAGGACTCCACAGGCTCAACCTTTTCTGTCACATGCTTCAGAGGTAATGATTTGCATCTAGCATAAAGCCTGGCTCACAGTAAGCATTTCACAAATGTGGGGTGATTTGATTAGATTTGATCTGGGTCAGTGTAAATAGGTATAGAAGGAAAAATAGAAGAGCGAAATCAAAGGATGATGACTATAAGGGGAGCAGTGATATAATTTGAACCTGAAAATCATCTGTGAATACACTGTACAATTTATTCAAACCTCAGTCTTTTATAATCTAATTATATGCAAATGCCCCTTGTGGTCTTGCTAACCATCTTGTATACCTGATAGAGCATTTTGGAGAACCTCAGGGGAGCTTCTTGAGGTAAGAAAAATAAAAAAGTAAAGACAAGGGACTTAGAATCATTGAGTTGAAAGGCAACAGTAGTCATTTAATACAAAGTGGGCCCTCCATACTGCCCTCTGCAAACATTCCTTAATACTTTCAGTCAGACTACATGCACTGCTTTACTCTGTTATTGGAAATCTCCAGTTGGTAGAAATGCCTAATATTGGGGCAAAGTTGTAATTTCTCTTGTTGATTCGAATCCTGGTTTTCAAAACCCCTTGGAATAAATCTGATTCCTTTTCCATACAATTTCTGTTCAAATGCCAGTTATCCTGCCAGCTCAGCTCTGCTCAAGACAGAGAGAAGAAACCTGGAGGGTCCCCAAATCGCGGGCAGCTGCTTTTGTGCTGCCCTCATGGCCTCATCTCTAGGTCACGTTTGCTCACGATTACCTAGTCAGCCCTGTGGTCCAGCTCCTGTGACTGGGGCCATATTTATTCTCTAATGCCTAGACTTCTGTTTTTTAGCTCCCTGCTTGGGACCCCGGACCTTGAATTGGGTCCTTGTCTTCTCTCACAAGGCCTTCGGAGGAGCGGGGCCAAACCCTTCTCCTTATGGATGAGTCCCCAGTATTTGAGCCAAGTGCTTCTGCCCACCTTCTCCTTGTCGCTTTGCCTGCTGCCAGACTCCACTGGTTCTTTCCGGCTCTGCCTTTGACATTAACTTCTTGCATGACCTCTGATCCCCTGTTCCCTAGCCTGTAAATTGAATGATTTCAGTAAATCAGTGATTATAAAAACTGGCCACTATGGAGGCATCACTCTCAGAAGGCGACCTGGCACTAGTATGATCCTGAGAGCACCATCTCCTTACATTTTGTGCCCTAGGAGTCTGGCTTGTCTCACCTTAATCGCAGCCCTGCCAGTACCAAGGCCAACCCCCAGATTTTTGATCTACTAGGTCCAGGAAGAGGCCCAGGTATTGGTATTAAAAACAAAACAAAACAAAAAAAGCAAACTATGCAGGAAGTTAATATGTGCAACCCGGTTTGAGAATCACTGGATTAAATCCTTAGGATCTCTCACCCAGAAGTGTACCCCAGGACCTTGAGACCCTTAACTGGACTTCCCTACCCATCCCCGGGACCTTGCTAATCACTTGTGATGTCCTACTCTCTCCTGGCAGGTCTGTCTCGCTTCCAGATCACAGGTAGGCTCAGTCTAGCCCATCCCCCTCATTCCAGAGCTTTGTTCTGGCCAACTCTTTTCTTTTCCAGGCAAAGCCTCCATTAGATAACTAAGGTTCCAAATCTACCATACTGTTAGTTCTCCTCTGGACATGTGTCAGGTGTCTGTGCACCTTTTACGTGATGTGATTTGAAGAGTTTGCAATACAGTAGTATTATGGTACATTCATTCAGCAAGCATGTACTGAGTGCCTGTTTATGTGCCCTGCCCTGAGTTAGTTGCAGAGGAGGATAAAATATATATGATATAGTTTACGCCTAGAACAGCTTATGGTAGACCAGCCTTTCCTGAAGAGTGCTCTGATTATTAACAGGTGTCACACAAAAACAAAACAAAATTTCCTGATAAGAGAATTCAGGAAGACCTTTATTATAGACTTCTCACAATGTTTAATATGCTAATATGCACTGTACATCTCCAAAAGGGGAACCCAACTGCTCCAAATGTGACTCCTAAATATACATGACTATTGAACTCTCATTTAACAGGGAATATTCCAAAAGACACTTTGGGAAATGCTGTCATAGATCATAAAATGCTAAATCTGGGATGAACCTTAAATCTGGATATGAGAACTCTATTAATGTGACCTAGCTGTTTGAGCAGCCACATCATTCTGTTGACTCATCATAAGCTTGAGGCCAGCTAAATCGCTTGGGTCTTTTTTCACAAACCATCTTGAAGCAAGTCTTTCCCTTTTAGAGTCGGGGCTATAGACATTTTTGGAACCTGAGTCTAGAGGCAATGGTTAAAGCCTGTTGAGGTCTTTTTTGCCCAAATCCTGTCATCCAACAAATCAGCTAGGTTTCCCAGCTGTTGCCTATAACTTCAGTAAGTAGGCCTTCCTTGGAAAGGCCTTCATTCAAGCCTCTGAAGAACATGCTGAATGAGGCCAATCCCTGTATCACACCACTGGAGACTTCCCTTGGAATTGTCATTGACCCTTTAAGCAATACTATTGGGTTTAGCCATTCAACAAATCTACCCAGTTCAGCCATCACCGAGACCACAACTCTCCATCTGGGTCAAAGGATAACATTAGAGGTTTGGGGAAACACTTCAGGGGAATCCACATTCCTCTGTTTTACCCATCTGGTAATACTTCCAAAGAGAATAAAATAAGGCTAATTTGTCATGAGTAAGTATTTCACAGAAGATAGTATTTTATTTTTGTGATTACAAAAGTAACCTATGCTCATTATAGAGAATGTGGAAAATAGAGAAGAAAAAAAAAACTAGTATAAAGAAGAAAATTAAAACTACCTGACATCTAACCATCCAGAGATAATTTCAGTTAACTTTTTCTACATTTTCTTCTAGTTTTTGATTATGCACATATATTGATTTACTCAAAAATATTTATTGAGTGTTTTCTATGTGTCCAACATTGTTTTAGGTGTAACACTAAACAAAAGAACAAATCCCCTCCCCCTAAAAATAATCCCTGCCCACATGAAACTTGTATTCTAGTAGGGGTTTATAAATACATGAATGAATGAATGAATGAATGAATGAATGAATGAATGATATTTTAAATACAATCTTTATTAAAAGATGCCTTAAGAAATATCC